ACACACACACACACACACACACACACACACACACACACATATACATATAATATATAGTGTCTACCTATAACTAAAAAAATAAATATTTTTAAAAAATGCTGTAGTATGCTCCAGTTATTCCATTGTCTTAAAAATGACTTTGTGTGTGTGTGTGTGTGAGTGTGTGTGTGGGTGGGTGGGTGTGTGTGGTCTAATTTGAAAACATGAATATTTAAGAAATATTTTCTTTATTCTTTGTCCTCAAAAATTGTAACACTGAAATCAAGAGCTATTTGGATGCATGTCATATTTAGCACATTTTGTAGAAAGAACAAAGGATTAGTTAATAAAACACAAATATACTCCTTTTAAAGTTTTATTCCTATTTTATGGGGTCTTAGTCGGTGATTTAATTGTTGGATTTCTGTTCCACAGCATCAAACTCTATTCCTATGATTAATGCATATAGTCCCCAAAAGGCTGAAGCATAGATGTACAACTTGAGACTGAGAGTCCTTTTATAAGTAATGGGGGACCTTTCCAAAGTCTGACAAATATAGGGAACAGGAGCAAGCATGATAATATTGTTAACAAGGCTTTACTATAGTAAAGATTTTCAGGTTTCACTTTTTAAGAAGTATAAAACAAGAGGCCTTTTTAAATATAAGAGAGGCAATCCTACCACTGTTCTTGAAGACTTCTGTGACTTACCTGATAGAATCTGATCTCATGAGGTAAGAAGATGTTTATTTTGTGGGGATCTCTAAGTGTGTCAACTGCCAGGACCCCAAAGATCCTCATATATGCATCATGCAGAGGCAGAGCCAGTAATGACCCATTTCGATCATTCTTATTGCGGGAATGGTTCCAGAAGATGATGTTCCCATGGTACTGTACTTGGGGGACATGGACTGGCTTCCCTTCATCCACTACTGAAAAGCTTAAGAAAAGGGACATCAAGATAGGAATAAGATAGGAGGAGGATTTAGTAAATCACTGAGGTAACTAGATCAATTCTCTATCCACAATTATGGGCATTTATATGTAAGAGCACTGGATTCAAATAAGATTACCAGTTTAGAGGATCTGATTTGAGGGAAGGACTTAAAAGACAATCTTAGATCTTGCCAGAGAAAATATATATAAACTGAATTAAGGAGACATAATTTATTGAGCTGATACCGTGAAATAGAGCCCCTAGGTGGGGAATCATTGCCAAAGAGTAAGCTCTAGAATTAATCAACCGAAACCATTTAAAACTGGAAACATTAGGGTCTGGGGCTGGGGCTCAGCGGTAGCATACTTGTCTGGCATGTGTGAGGCACTGGGTTCGATTCTCAGCACCACATATTAATAAATAAAATAAAGGTCTATCAACAATTAAAAAAATATTAAAAAAAAAAAACCGGGAAACATCAGTTCCCACTCTAGAAGCCTGGTAACTTGAGACATTTCTCTCTGGAGCAACTCACTAGGATTTGGAGGTGCTAGTTTGTTGTTGTTGTTGTTTAGGAAGATTAAAACCAATCACTTCAAGGAGTTCTCACCTGATTCCTTCCATGTCCCGGTAAAGTACTCTGTTCAGTACGAATGAAGCATCATCTAGGGTACAAGCCACATTTCTCAGTAGAACAGACCCTCGATCAGGCAATAGTTCATTTTCTTCTAAGAGGGAAATGTGAGCACTAATCTTCTTATTTCCATGAGCTTCAGCATCCTGTGGCACAACATTTCTGAAAATGTATTTACCAACAGCCACAGAACTCCCCTAATCCCTCCACCACCCAGTTTGTGAACATGGCACCAATAATTTCAATTTATGGAGTACATGATGCAGGTACTACCATCCATGGGCAGTGAGGAAAAGGCTGACACCACAAATGACCTCCAAAACTGAGTTTTCATGTGTGGAATAGATTTTTTTCTAAAGCCAACTAAACTGCTTTACTGAAAACAAAATCAAAACAAAACCAAACCTCTCAAGTCTAATCAAATTAAAGGTTTAAAACTTAAATTCTTTCAAACTATTGTCATGTTTTCTGAGCTTCAGTTAAAAGTACTGGTTTTAGAGAGCTGCATCAAGAAGATGCCTTCATTTCACTCATATCTCTTGGCCATCTAAATATGTGAAATTGAAAAAAAATGCTTCCAAGGAATTATTAACACAATTTACATATTTGATCTATGCCACTTCAGGAAAAGGTTTCTTGGAGCCTGAGGGTTCAGACTTTCTGCATTTACTATTTCTAATTAAAATAATTAAAAATCTCTATATCAAAAAATTAAATTATTAACAATATTATGTGATAACACACATTGAATATATTCATAAAGTAGGGACATAAGAGACACTTGATATTTGTCTCTTCTTACTATTTATTTAGGTTTGTTTTTCAAACTTTCTTTTTCTTCTGCTTTTATTCCTTTTTTCCACATATAAGTTATATGGAGTAACTAACAAATATAAAATAACATTTTTCTTAGGGTAACACAGATCTCTAAAGCAAGTTGGAGCAATGCCTCCTTTTCTTGAGTGGACTCCTAGTCCTAATTTCACCATTGCCAACAACATGGGAAAATTCGGCTATTCAGGAGATGATTCCAATTTGTGTGTGTGTGTGTGTGTGTGTGTGTGTGTGTAATGTATAAAATTATGATGATGACTGGCCCAGGTCTCCTATATCACTGGAATCTGGGATATATGTAAAAAATTGCTGTGATGTTTCTGCTTAAGAAAAGTAGCAATCTGGGAGTTTCTGAAGAGGTGCAAGGCTGTGGGCAATGGCTCTACAGGGCCATGTATTTTAAGTGACAGGATTCTAAAAGTCTCAACTTGCTGCTAGGCAGTACTATGAAATATTGTGTAATGTTGGAATCTACCATAAAGTAGATGAGTTTATGGTGTAAATAGTTCTTTTTTTAATGGTTATATAGTTCCCTGGACATCATGTAAGGAAAATATAGCTTGAACTGTTTGCACATCTCTTTTCTGGTGTTTTTTTCAGTATCAGTCCATTGTCTATTCTTGGCTTATTAGACTCTTAGCACAAATGAAATTAGAAATCCCAAGACTTTTTTTTCATATCTTTTTTTTTTTAAAGAGAGAGTGAGAGAGGAGAGAGAGAGAGAGAGAGAGAGAGAGAGAGAGAGAGAGAGAGAGAGAGAAATATTTATTTATTTTTTTTAGTTCTCGGCGGACACAACATCTTTGTTTGTATGTGGTGCTGAGGATCGAACCCGGGCTGCACACATGCCAGGCGAGCGCGCTACCGTTTGAGCCACATCCCCAGCCCATATCTTTTCTTTACACTTTTCTTCTCTGCTTCTTTCTTACCCACCAGCCATAATCTCAGTGGCATCTCATCTGGGCTTTGGGTCATTTGTAATGTATTAGAATCAAGTGCTCCTTCCACACAACCATTGGATATCACCCACTGTGAGAAAATTCTTTTCCTCTCCTTTCCCTTTTTTTTTAGTACTAGGGATGGGACACAAGGTTACTCTACCACTGAGCACATCCCCTCCCTCCTTTTCTTTTTACATTTTGAGACAGGATCTTGCTAAATTGCCCAGGCTGGCCTTGAACTTGCAATCCTCCTGCCTCAGCCTCGCAAATCGCTGGGATTACAGGAATGCACCACTGTGCCCAGCTCAGAATTTTTTTCTCTTTTAGATCATTTTAGAAAACATACCTGGAATTAGATAGAGGGGAGTGAAGGACGGGGAGGGGTACAGGGGTAGAAACGATAGTAGAGTGTTGCATATATGATTACTACCTGTGTAACTGTATATCATGTACACCCAGAAGAATGAGAGATTATACTCCATTTATGTATGATGTGTCAGAATGCATTCTACTGTTACGAATAACTGATTAGAACAAATAAAAATAAATAAATATAAAAAAAGAAAACATACCTGGGTGAGGGTCTTAAAGGTCTCAGTGTATACTGGCTCCACAGACACTCCACTTGTCTCTGCAGCATGTTGGATTTGGTGCAGCCATTTTCGTCTTGCACAATTCCTAAGACCCTCAATATGGCTCCTCTTTAAAGAATTCATCAGAAATTCCACAATACTTTCCATAACTTGATCTTCATTGCCCCTGAGTTCAGATACTACCAATTCTATGTATTTCTGAAATTGTTTTGAAGACAACTTTACTTCATGTCCATGGTATGACTTTGGAAACTGGAAGTGTAGTTTAGCTAAAAGACACAAACGCAAAACCAAGAACTAATCAACAGTACATTCATCTACTGGGAAAATTTTCTTTCTCCTCTTCAAGCCCAAGCCCTTAACAACTACTGGTCTGTGGAAAGTCAAGTATATCAAAGGCATCTCTGAGATCAGAGGAATATTTCTCAAGCATTTCCTATAATAAATTCAGTAAGACATCTATATCATCTTCTCTTGGTTTTGGTTTGTTTTGATTCTACTCCTTAGCTGGAAAACTCCCAGAGTCTACTTTGACTCCTCCCTACATTTATAAGAAACAGCTTAATTTTATCCATTAAAATTATTAAAATTATAATAATTTTACTCTTTGGCAACATATCTTGTGGCCACTCCTTTCATTTCTATTTTCGTACCCCCACACCAGCTTTTATCACTTTATAATTGACTGGTCAGTACTAAAATACTCAATATGCATTTGTAAAATTAAATTAAAATGGAGTATGCATTATTTAATTCTCTGTTTCAAAGTTCTGTCATATTTCAAATCTATTTCCAATCAAATCTGCTCCTAATACCATATAGTAGTTATTTGCTCTAGTACCTTCATTCTATTCATGGTCCCTAACCATGCTTTGCATACTTCTGTATCCATACTCTTTAATTTTTTTAATTGTGCAATGATGAATCTACTATCAAACTTGAATATGACCAGTTACTTACATTTTCCACTCTGTTCTGCCCTATTCCATCCTCTCCCTTCACCGTTACCAATCCAAAATTTGGTTTTATCTTTTCCTTCCCTTTTGTTTTTCCAATAGTGTTAGAGTTATACAATAATATATGTATTACATGAATACTTCTAAACAATATGTAGTTTAGGTTTGACTTTTTAAACTTTAGAAAGAGGTTATCAAGTCATATGCAGATTTCTGGGACTTGCTTTTTTATCCAACATTATGCAACTGTACCAATCTACTGTAGCTGTGATTCATTCATTTTCATCATTGTACGCCATCATGTGAGTGTATTATCCTTGATTATTTTTTCTCCTGGAAATGGATGTTTAGGTTGTTTTCAATATTTTGTTCTTGGTACTAGCACTTCGAGCATTTTTATTCATGTCTTCTGGTTTGTGTTTGCAATTTTTTTGACATTTCTTATAAGTTAACATTATAAGGTAGCTACCCCTTCCTTTTAAAGTATGGTCCTAAGTCTCTCCTTCCTTGTAAAGTCTTCTACTGTGATTTCTCCTTCCCATGAAAGACAATAGCATTTATTCTATGTCATTTATTTGACAATTAACAAATACTACTGGGAACTTATAGTCATTTTATCATGTGCAGTGAGCTTCTCATTTCTGTAGTTGGACACTCATTGATTTTTGTTTTTTAGCTTCCACTCATCTTTGTCTTGGTAGTTCTCTCCAGTTTTGCCACCATTCTACTCCCATCTCAGTTTATGTGTTTGAATTGGATTCCACTCATAGTTCTACAGATTAAGCATGCATCTTAGACTTATGCCTGAGTGGTTGATTTAGTACAAGATTTATGCAGAATCATTAGGAAGATTATTTTATTTCTACTGAGTTTGAATGAATATGTGAGGATGGACCTGGTCACCACAAATGGAGAGGCTTTATAACAATGGAGATAAAACAGAAGAGAGCAGGGGCTGGGCTGAAAACAAGAGAAAGAGAAAGAACCAGATACCTATCCTAATGTCATTATTTGAACTCCCAAACCTAGTTGTGTCCTGAAGTAGTTCTGAACTTTACCATTGCATGAACAAATTTCTTTTTTTCATTGATGCATTATAATTATACTATTTTGGGATTCTTTATGCCATGTTCATACATGCAAATAACATAGTTTGATTACATTTCTTTTTTTTCTTATGTTTTTTGGATTGTATTTTCTATTATTTGAACCCAAAGGATCCTAAGTGACAGCCTCCTATTAGGCTTAAAGTGCTTTATGGTTTCCTCCTCCTCCTCATTATTACTATTATTATTATTATTATTATATTCCTTTCTTTTCTTGAGCCTTTTGGTTCTAAAGCCATTATTATTATTATTATTATTATTATTATTATTATTATTATTATTATTATTATATTCCTTTCTTTTCTTGAGCATTTTGGTTCTAAAGCCACTGGTGGGCCAGAGCAAGGTAAGTAACCCCTCCCGGTCAAGAAGCAGGTCAGGGTATTGGAGTCCAAATGTGTTGAGGAGGTCATCTGTGCAGAGGTGGCTTAGCATGGATTGTCAGAGTGTGAGCAGGGTGCAGAAGGCATGCATATGGAAGGGCAACTTACAACCAATGTGGGTGAAGAGGTTAGTTCAACAGAGAGGTGGTTTAGGTTGGAGAACCAAAGCCCCATGTGGATGTTTAATCCTGACCAGAAAGAAAAGGATATGCAAATAGAGGGGCCAGTGTTAATATAAAATGACCAAGCCAGTGGGTGTAAATTTCACAGATCAGCAAAGCCTTTATTCAGCAGTGGAATCATGCATCTGGTGGACCCTCTTTCCTGATGGAACATGAGCCACCAGCCCAGGGAGGAATCGGTGCTTATATATGTTACACTGAGAGATGATTTAATTATTGACAAAGTGTGTCAGTTCAGGCACTCAGGGAATAAGTTGTAAGAATTTGAAATTTGCTTTTACTGGGCAATATTTTTATTTGGGGGAAGAATAGAAGGTCTGGGGTCAGCATTCAGTACTTATCTTTTTCCCTTCAGGGTCCCATTGTACTGTCACTAGGAAAGGATTTATTTGGGGAAGGATCAATGCTTTGGCTTCTCCCCAGAGACTGCCATTTTAGGCTTGATAGATATCTCCTTCCCAGGGATTGTCTTATCACTGGATGATGTTTGCTTCCTTCCCAGGGATTGTCCTGTCACTGGGAAAGGATCCTTGTTATCAGTGTGTTGCCTTCTTCCTCACTCCCTCTTCCCAGGCCACACTATTTTGGGGTTTATCATTTTTCCATATCTTACAGACAGCTTGGCCTGGGGAAATCATAATCTAAATAGGATGAAGCAGATGTCAGTGTGGAAGAGAAGTCCAACATGCAAAACTGGCCCAAGTCCAGCATTGGGAGTCAGAATCTGAATACACTAAATGGACTGAGGAAGGTTTGAAAACTGCCTTGTCATAGAGCATCAGAATCTAAGGAATATCCACATTCCAAGATCAGCACTTGGAGAAGGAAATCTCATGTGGAATGTCAACACCCCGAGTAAAGCATGAGGGAAGGGTAGTGTAGTATAGTGTCCTTAAGTGATATAAGAAAGAAGACATAAAGGGGCTGGGGTTGTAGCTCAGTGGTAGAGTACTTGCTAGCACCTGTGAGACACTGTATTCGATCCTCAGCACCACAAAAAAAATAATCGAAGATATTGTGTCCATCTATAATTTTAAAAATATTTTTAAAATGATTTCAAATATACAAGGACATAAGAGTGGGAGAGAGGACAGCAGCAGTGATTGAAGATTTGTTCCATGTAGAACTAATAGACTGATGGGTCAAATAAATAAATATACCCAGGATAACATGAGCCAAAGCAGGGAGCTTCAAAAATGGAAAGGGAGAAAATTAGAATGAATCCTGTTGTGTTAGATTAGACTTGGAGGTATTGGTATGAACTCATGATTTTTAATATTAATAGATGAAATAGAAGCACAGGTGTGAATGTTTTTGTACACAAATGCATGTGCATGTGCAAACACACAAACAAACAAATCCCCTCCTTCTGTTCACTAAGAAACCTGGGAGCAGAGACTTCTGAACAATGAGCATATGTAGAATCCAGATCTTGGCTTTTAAATACTACTTCCCATTAAAAGAAACCAGGATTTTCTGAGGAAATGGATTATCCCTCAGTATAAGAGGGATCTAGAAGATGTCAGTATAGTAGAAATCAAGGTAGTGTGCTAAGAATGATGGAAACAATATTGGCAAATGTATACTGTTACATTGTGTACATGTACAAATACATAACAACAAATCCCACAATTATGTACAACTATAAGGCACCAATAAAAACATGGAAACACATTAAAAGAACAGAGGAGCCAGGCATGGTGGTACACTTCTGTAATCCCTGCAACTCAGGAGCCTGAGGCAGGAGGATCCCGAGTTCAAAGCCAGTTAGCGAGGCCCTAAGTAACTCAGCAAGATCCTGTCTTAAAAGGATTGGGGTTGGGGGAAGCGCTGGGTTGTGGCTCAGTGGTAGAGTACTTGCTTATCACCTGCAAGGCACTGGGTTCAATCTTCAGCACCACATAAAAATAAATAAATAAAATAAAGGTATTATGCCCAACTATGACTTAAAAAATTATATATATATAAAGGGGGGGTTGATGTTGTGTGGCTCAGTGGTTAAGTGCCCCTGAGTTCAATCCCCAGTACCAAAAAAAAAACCAAAACAAACAAACAAAAAAAAAACAACAGAGGAAACTATATGACAGCTCCTTATAAAACTAAAAATATGGGGGCTGGGGATGTGGCTCAAGCGGTAGCGTGCTCGCCTGGCATGCGTGCGGCCCAGGTTCGATCCTCAGCACCACATACAAACAAAGATGTTGTGTCCGCCGAAAACTAAGAAATAAATATTAAAAAAAAAAACTAAAAATATGTACCCTATGGTCCATAAATTCTACTCCTGTATATTTATTAATAAGAAATAAACACATATATCCACATAAAGATTAGTATAATAAGATTGTTTGGAGCAGCTTTATTCATAATAGTCAAGAACAAGAAACAACCCAGGTGTTTACAGACCAGATAAACAAACATGGTATATTCATACAGTGGAATACTATTCAGCAATAAATAGAAGCAAAATTCTAATATATGCAACAACCTGTAACCATCTCAAGGAAAATTATGCTGAGTGAAGGAAACCTTACAAAAAAGAGTATATATTGTATGACTTCATTTTTATGTAGTTTTAGAAGAGTTAAAACTATGGTAGAAAAAAACAGAAGAGGGGTTGTCTTGGGGATTAGATGGTGGGATTGAATGGGAAAGTTTTTTTGTTCTTGATGCAAGCATGGAGTACTCAGGTCATGTATTTGCCAAAACTCATTGTACACTTAAAATTTATGCATCTAATTTTATGAAAATTTTACCTTAAAAGAAAAAAAGCTTTTAACAAACACTCCAATTAATGATATGCATGCTGGAGTAATTAGTGAGAAGTATATAATATACTTTGAAATGTGTAAAAATAACAGAGATAGATGGAAAAATAGATGGAGGCAGATAGATAATAAGAAAGGGTAGTAAAATGGTAATGGTAGAATCCAGGTGGTCTACAGATGCCTCGCCATAAAATTCCTCAGTTTTGCTGAATGTTTGAAATTTTTCCTTATAAAATTTTGGGAGTGGGAAAGGGAAGACACAGGAGTCAGATAAAAGGACTTCCCTTTGTTTAAATTTGGGACAATAGACAAACTCTAGACAGGGCAGAGGGGTTGGAGAGGAAGGGTAGGGAGGCATGGGTTTAGAAATAATGATTGAACATGATGATCATTATTATCCAAAGTACATGTATGAAGACATAAATTGCTGTAAATATACTTTGTATACAACCAGAGATATGAAAATTGTGTTCTATATGTATAATAAGAACTGTAATGCATTTTGCTGTCATAAATAAATAAATAAATAAATAAATGATTTTTTAAAACTGTATTATGTAAGCCTGAAAAAAAAATATGTTCACCAAGGAGATTCTGCAGAAATAAAGTAACTGTGCACATAACTGAAAAAATAAATAAATTTGGGACAATATTAGCATCAAAACAAATAATGATAGTTTTGGATTATAACCCATTGAATAAAATAGGAAGACACCATATACTGCTATAAATGAAAAGTTTGACCAAAAATGGAAGGACTACTTACATAGTTTCAAAGCACATTCATAAAATACTTGTTAGATTCAAAGGGAAAAAGAGTGATTTTAGAGAGGAGGGACCTGTCAGATAGCATCAAAGGGAAAAAGAGTGACTTTAGAGTGGAGGGACCTGTTAGATAGCATCTTAATAAACTGGTCAAAGTTATCAGGGGACTTCTGATATCATTCAACAAGAACAGCATTGATTACACAATATATTTCTGCTGAAGATCAATAACCTGAATTTAAGCAAGAAGAAACATTAGACAAATGTAAATAAAGGACTTCCTAAAAACAAGTCTACAATCTTTCAAAGTGTCAAGGTCATGAAAATCAAGGAACAACGGAGGAGTTTCCTATTGATTCCTTATTCTAGAGTTCTAAAGCAAAGAAATTGTCATTTTACAACACCTACTTGCCCAGTTTTTAGTTTCTTTAAAAAAAAACACTTTGTGTGTTTTTTAATGAGACTTTTAAATAATGTTCAAGATTTCGGGATAGAGTAGAGGAAAGGGACTACTGGGAGGGAGAAGAGGGAAAGGGGAAATATTGGGAAAGGATACTGGCCAAATTAAATTATTTCATTGTGTGTTTGTAACAATATATAACAATGAATCCCACCATTGCATACAAGTATAATGCACCCATAAAAATATGGGGAAAAAAGATTTCTGGAATTTGGTAACAGAATGTATTACCAAAATGTTTTAGTTTAACCAGTTGTTATGGCACATGTGCCTGTAGTTCCAGTTACTCAGGACATTGAGGTAAGCTGGGCACAGTAGTACACTCCTGTAATCCCAGTAACTAAGGATCAAAAGTTCAAAGCCAGCCTTGGCAACTTAGCAAGACCCTGTCTCAAAATAAAAATTAAAAAGGGATGGGATATGGCTCAGTGGTAACGTCTCTGGGTTCAATACTTAGTATCAAAAGAGAGAGAGAGAATAAAATTCATGTCTTTGGAGTGTTGTAAACCTGATAATAAGTATTTCTACATATATCATCTTTAATTCCTACAGTTCACCAGGGAAGTAGGAATTAGCCTCATTCTCTAAAAAGAGGAAAAGGCTACTGAAAGAGACAATAGCACTAATTAGGAAGAGAATGTATTCAAACTAAAGGTCTAACTAAAGTCCAAGGATTTTTATTGTTGTGATGTTTTCGTACTTGGGATTGAGTCCAAGCATACTTTACCACTGAGCAACACCTCCAGTACTTTTTTTATTTTTTATTTTAAGATAGGGTCTCATTTTGCTAAATTGCTGAGGCTGGCCATAAATTTGCTATCTCCTGACTCAGCCTCCTGAGTTGCTGCCACAGCACCTGGATAAAACCGAAGTTTTAAGTTTTAATCTTTTCTCAAAGCTTCCTTCCTCTGCGCTGTACCGGGTGTAATTCCATTTCTCTCTTTTGAGTTCATGGCTAGAGAGACTAAGATTGATCAAATTCATAGGACACGGTCATATTTTTCCTGAAAGAAAAAAAGTTTACCATAATATGCTGAGAATCCTATGAAAAATTAATGTGACTGAATATGTATCAACATATTGTCATAGCAAGACCTTGTCTCAAAAAAGTTTTAGTTTTAAGAGTTAAATGTCTTATTTAAATAGAAATTTAAATATTAAAGCAAATCTTATAATTTAAATAGGAAATGAAAGGACATAGCCAACAGCATTAACAGCTATTCCATGGAAAATAATGGGGTAAGAGTAATCTATTCCATTAAATTCTATGGTATTGACAGGTAACATGTTCTATGGCTTTTTATTTGTGATATTTCTGCTCAAAAGATTGATCAAATTCTGTATTAAATAGAAATAAAAAGGGGAGTGCTTGCTTCAGCAGCACATTTACTAAAATTGAAACGATACAGAGATTAGCATGGCCTCTGCGCAAGGATGACACACAAATTCATGAAGCATTCCATATTTTTATTTTATTTACATCTATATTTTAATTAATTAATTAATTTTTATTGGTTCTTTTTAGTTATACATGGCAATAGAATATACTATGACATAATTATATAAAGCATGGAATATAATTTGTTCTAATTCAGTCCCCAGTATTGCCCCTTCCCCTTCTTTCCTCCCACTCCTTCCCTCCACCCCCTACATTAAATTCTCAATGAGAAAAAGAATTTTTTAAAAAGGGGGCTAGCAGGGTATGGTGGCCAGGCCTATAATCCCAGAGGCTCAGGAGGCCAAGGCAGGAGGATCTACTTCAAAGCCAACCTCAGCAAAAGCGAGGTGCTAAGCAACTCACTGAGACCCTGTCTCTAAAAAATAATACAAAATAGGGCTGGGGAAGTGGCTCAGTGGTATTGAACTCAGAGTTCCCTGAGTTCAATCCCCGGTACCCTCTGCCAAAAAAAAAAAAAAAAAAAAGAGGTGGGGAATGACAACCTAAAATTTCAAGTTTCTCTTTCTATATATCAAACTTCCATTTTGAGAGCACCAACAGAAACATTTCTACAAACTTCTAACCCTGTGACTTTATGATATTTAAATCCCAATTTTTAGAGGAGAATTTCAAGTTTAAGGCCAATCTCAGCAACTTAGTGAGGCCTTCATCAATTTAGCAAGTCTCTTGTCTCAAAATGAAAAAAAAAAAGGAGTGTGGGTATAGCTTAGTGCCCTTAGGTTCAATCCTCAGTACCAAAAGTTAAAATAAACCTGTTTTTTTTTTGTTGTTTTTTTGGGTTTTTTTTTTGGTACTGGGGCTCTTAACCACGGACTCACATCTCCAGACTTTTTTTTTTTTCCCCCCCAAAAAAAATTGCTGATGCTGGCTTTGAATTTGCGATCCTTCTGCCTAAGTCTCCCAAGCCTCTGGGATTATAGGCATGTGTAACCACATTCAGCAACTCAATTTTTAATCTTGGACACAGAAGAAATAAGAAGAGCGGAACAAAACAATAAACAAACAAAAGAACTGTTTGAAGATTTGCCAATAATTTGTCAGTCAATACTCAAATTTAGAATTTTCTTTCTTTTTAGAGAGTAGAAACTAACTCTTCTATACTACCGACAGGTCAACAGCTATTTCTGACCAAGTGACTATCAATCCGTGTTTATTGAGAATCATTTTGTATAAGTCTGCCCTTGGAGAGAATTAATGGTTATTTATTCATACTTTCAAACATTTTCATTTGGCAGCATATTCTGCCTCCTCATTTCTTTCTCATTTGCTGGGCTTTACATTTTGTGCTTTTATTTATCCCTAGTGCTGTGTTTCAGTTATATGTAATTCCATATAATCCAATATATGGAATTCACTTATAACATTACTTTTAGATCCCTTAATTCTAAAATTCATCATTTCTCTTATGAAGTCACAAAATACATGTATTTTTTATTTTGACCTGAATTTGTACAGTCCCATTATAAGTGTTATTTCTAATTAAGGATGTAAAATGATATTTCATTTGCAATTGGGAAAAATCCAGTAAAAGGATATTCACTTAAAAATGGCTAAGATCTTTATTAAAAATTTGATAAGAAAATTTTTTAAAAAATTCATCATGGCTCACTCTTTCACTTTACAAACAAAGAAATTTGAGTCTATGGAGGTTAAGTTACAGGCCCAGGTTCACAGGACCCGTTAGTGAAGACCCAATATTGGAACCCAGCCACCCTAACTGATATATAGGGTTCTCTATAGAGTATGGTTCTATGCTATGAAATTCGCCAATCTTATAAGTAGGAACCACCTCATTATGCTCTTTTTTAATATTTATTTTTTAGTTATAGGTGACACAATATTTTTAAGTGATGCTGAGGATCGAACTCAGTGCTTCACACAGGTAGAGCGAGGCTCTACCTCTGAGCCACAACTCCAGCCCCTCATTATGTCTTCTGAAATTTCATTAAGTTTGCTATGTAAATAGAAATTTAAATATTAAGGCAAATCTTGTCATTTAAATGGAAAATTAAAGTGCACAGCCAACTCTCTGGGCATAGTCTTAGACAAGCAGTGCAGTGTAATTTAAAGTTTGCAGACTGAAGAGAACATGACAATTGATAAACTTTAGGCACATTTGAAGATCAACAATGTAAGGATGTTTTGGAAAGGGTTGAAGAACTTAAACAGCCCATGCACTATACACTTTAAAGATTGGAAATCTGATATACAAAAGTCAACAGATAGACCTTTAAAGCCAGTAAAAAGCAAAATCATTTAAACTAGGATCTAATGAAGAAAGGAATTTATCATACTGGAATAAGAATTTTACTAGGTTTTGATTGGGAAGTAATGTTTAGAAGGGGAAAATATAATAAAGGAGAAAAAAAGTCATTAAGGAGAGGAAGTTAGTAAATTGAAGAGAAATTTGTAAACCAGTCGGACTTGAGAGAATAGTTCAGACCTTGTGAAGACAAAGACAGAAAAATAAGAGAAATCAGGCAGAACTGTAGCATGGTTTGGATTCTCTTAACCTCAAGTGAGGGTATTCAGGTCCACAGAAGGAATCTATGTAGAATTAAGGTTTTGGACACAGCACTCTGATCCACTTCTGATCATGTTGACAAATACATGAGGGGTCCAATTTCTCTACATTCTTGCCAAGACTTATTTTCCATTTTTCAAATGATAGCCACATTAATAAGTATGAAGCAGTATCTGATGGTTTTGACTAAATCAATGTTTGGTTTTTAACTGTATATTTCCCATAGTACTGGGAAACTTGAAGCCAAGTTGTGCCACAACTTAAACAAGAACATTCTTATATTTTACCTTTCTTCATACATTCTCTTTCCATTCCCTCCTTGTATGTGTACAAGAGTTCATCAACTTCTCTCAGATCCAGGAAGCCTGAGCCATCACTGTCCCACTTCTGAAAGAGGGCTTCTAGAAGAAGCTCCCGGCGGACTTGGAAAGCCTTTTGTCTAACCTGGGATACAAACAGGTTAACAAGGTACAGAAGACACCATGTTAACTGTGCTAGCTGGCATCCTGTGTTTATACTAAATAATTGCAGTATCTTTTATAAAAACAGCTTATTTGGGGATTAACCATGATATTAATGGAAAATGCAGTTATTAATTTTAACCTCTTTAATGTCTTAAGGTTTCACCTTAAGACCAAAACCACTCAGGCATTCTCTGGACTCAAGCATATTACCTTAGAAAGGATACTGTACTTCTTAAGAATCTTGTATTATTCCTTCCCAAATCCTCCTTGGTCATTATAAAATACCATAAACATGGGCTGGGATTATGGCTTAGTGGTAGAGCGTTTGCCTAGTGTGTGTGAGGCACTGGGCTCGATTCTCAGCACCGCATATAAATAAATGAATAAAATAAAGGTCCATCAACATCAAAAAAATTTTTTTAAATATGATAAACACATGGGATGTTCTCACTGGATTCCTAGGGATATTCTGTAGGGAAAGGGAGTGTTGAAATAACTAAAAAATGGTTGTTTTAAAAATTCTCTTTCTTCCTTTCTTTTTTTTTTTTTTTTTTTTTGGTACTGGGGATTGAACCCAGGGTCACTTAATCACAGAGCCACATTCCCAGCTCTTTTATTTTTTTTATTTTGAGACAGGGTCTTGCTAAAGTAATTAGGGCATCTCCAAGTTGCTGAGGTTGGCCTTGAATTTACGATCCTCCTGCCTCCGACTCCCAAGTCGCTGGGTTTACAGGTGTGTGCCACTGTGCTCTGCCCAAAATTCTTTTCTATATTAATTTTGATGGCATTAATTTTATTTAATTGTATGCTTTCACACTATTTTAATTATATTAATTAGATCATAAATTGAGTTCATATATAGATACATTTAATTGCAAAAAAGAGAGTGAATATATACCTTTTGTTTTAAGTGGTGGGGAATTGCAGTTGAGGAGGTAAAAAGGAAGTCAACTCTGGAATTAGGCTGAGAAAACTCATAAGGCTGATGAGATTACTGAATAAGTTTGGTGAAATGAGTCACATGTTTCACATATGAGAACATAAGTTATTTATATTGGATGACGCATATGCATTTATTTACCACCCAAGGAAGTACTAAGTTCCTAGGAAATATGTGTTACTTGAGTGCCCAAGAATAAAAAACACATATTCAAGCCATAATCATACCCTTAGGTATGTGCATTTGTAAACGCACTCACAGAGCAGATGGTGCACACGTACATCTTCACACATACACACATTTACTCCTCAAGTTTCAGAGAAGGAAAAAACAAAGCTATATTATAAACCATCTCCTGCCAGGAGTAATCATGTTATTTTTAGGGGAATGAGTTCTCTGGAGGTGATCTTAGAGCATTCACCAATAAAATAAGATATTTAATGGCTATGCTTATTGAAATAAAATGATAAATTTGGACATAATTTTTTTTAAAGAGTGACATGGGGAGCAACTGAAATTGAGAAATTTGCTTATAATAGTGACCTCACTTGTTTCATCGATAAGTAATATTACCCACCTGTTCTAAGGCACTCATTTTCTCTTCTTTTGTTTCAAAATAGCCCCTCTTAAAAAAGGAAATGAGACTCTCGCTGACACTCAAGGGGGCATCTTCACCAACAAATGTCTCTAGGAGCTGCACAAACTGGAGCAGATTGAAGGAAACTCCATTGAAGGCACTCCTCCCTCTTATTTCCTTGTAAGACTGAATATTTCTGATAATCGGGTGTAGGTCTATGAAGCAGTAAACAGATACCAAGCAGTTAAGTGAATGATTCTCTCAAATCTTATGGAAAATAAAAGACTATCTATTGTAACAGACATCTGCTATTGCTTTGATTTGTTTTAGTCTGGTGCTGGGAATTGCACCTAAAGCCCAATGCATGCTAAGTTGTGCTCTCCCACTAAACTAAATCCCTAGCTATAATATCTACTATTTTTGCCTGTCAGGAATCTATGCTCCCTTCATGAGGACAGCATCCATCTTTTTTCCTTGGGAAAACATTTCTCCTCCATTGTCTGTTCTGAGGAATCTGGCGGTACTATGCATCCACACCCTTGTTCCATGGATATGTATAAGAGATCTGGCCAATGATTTATACTGATAGCAATGTAATCCACTACAGGCCAATGAGAATTAGCTCCAGGATTTTCAGGAGAACTATTGGGCAAGAATCATTCTTTTTGTATTCTGATTGCTGAACCAGTAGGATGTTAGAGTAGAGATGCTCTGTGGCCAATTTTCTACAATATGGAGAAAACTGCCTAAAATTGAAAGTGACAGAAAGACATTGAGACAGACATTGTCTGGTATTGTTAAATCCAGTTGTATCTGAAGACAGTTACATGCTGGACTCCCAAATTAAATAAATTAGTAAATACCACCACTAAAACTCTTCCCACTAAGAATGGTAACTAAGGTATTCATCTTGAAATTTAATGTTACAACATGAAGTAACATTACATTAAGTAACAAAATGTCAGTCTAGAGACTTATGTTTGATTTATTCATGCATGCCTTAAACCTTCTGTATGAGACTTGATATAACTAAAAATGATCACCCATGCAAATTTTTAAAAAATATTCTTAGTTGTAGATGAACACAATACCTTTCTTTTATTTTTTATATTTATGTGGTGTTGAGGTGCCTCACCTGTACTAGGCAAGCACTGTATCACTAAGCCACAACCATAGCTCCATCCGTGCAATTTTTAAAAAACAGTAAAGTAAAACTGACATAAGGACTAGAAAGAAAAATATTAACTTTGGACCGTAAGAGCTGACCAATGCTTGATTTTCTATTTAGTGAAAATATTATTTCACCAGAATTTTTTAGCATAGTAAGTCTGTTATTTAGCCCAGGTTTAAATAAGGAAACAATTTGCAGATAGAAAGAAAATAATCTTGGTCTAATTAGTTCTACTACTTGTTGATATGATAAGGAAAATATAAAATAGAACTTTAATTAAATATGACTAGAGTACTATTCAAAACAATTATAATTAAATATGTGATTTGGTGTACACCTGTAATCCCAGCATTTTGGGAGGTTGAAGCATGTTCAAAGTCAGCTGCAGCAATTTTGGGAGGCCCTAAGTAACTTAGCAAGACCTTATCTCAAGATAAAAAATTTAAAAATAAAAAAAGTGTTGGGGATGTGGCTCAGTAGCTAAGCACCCTCGGGTCCAATCCAAAATACCAATACTACCTTTCTTTGCAAGTCTTCAAAAACAAAATAGATTCTCATTTGTCTCATATGTTTGGATGTGGACCTACTAGGAAGAGAAATAGCTGGCATAATTTCTATTGAATTCTAATATCTAACATCTGATTTCTTTTGTATGCTTGTACCATATCTTCAAAGCAGTTATAGGGCCATATAATAGCAAAAAAGTCTATTAATATCATAAGTTTGAAAGCCAAGGAATATTCATTGATAGTAGATGTCACTATCAATAGCAGGTCACCATTAGAAACACCCATCTTACATATATTCATTTCCATCAGTTCTCAGGAACAAAGCAATGTAAGGATTCTGTTGTGTCTTAGTTAAATACATTTTTTCTCATGGGATACCACACTAAATTAAAGTCACCTATGCTTCCTTACTTTCATTGTTAACACATACCTGTAAACTTGGAGTTATTATAGATTAAGTGTGCTTGATCCTCATCTTCAAATTTGACATACTTCCTCCTCCAGTTACAAGCAAAAAATTCACCTATAAAAACACATTTCATAACACAGCAAATTTAACTTCACTTTCACAATGTTTTTGTCCTAGGTGATACATGAAAATAAGATTAAATAAAAAGTTACCTGACCATGATTTTCCTTCTATTTTGGGGGACTTGGGTTCACAGGATCTGTCTTTCTGAATGTCTTTTCCTGTGGTAGCTAAAAGGTATACAAAAGAAAATTTCTATGAATTGGACATTATGTCTTCTATCACATATCCTAAGGTTAATGAATGGGAAAAATACCTTTCATATAGAACACTAAAAACTCTGAGTATTTCCTCATATATATTGTGTCATAATCAACCACAATTAAATCACTTAATAACTTAAATGGTTGACAGCAGCTCTGTGGCAAAATCTGTTTGTTGTATCTCAATTTGGCCATGCAAAATGAAACATTTCCCAGTTTCCCTTAGAGTGACATATTACTATATGCCTAAATTATGGCCAATGAGATATGACTAAATATTTGAAATGCAAGGTGGGTTTTTTTTGTTTGAAATATATTTTTTATTTGAAAAAAAACAAGACCCATTTTTTAGTTAAAAAAATATTAAAAAGTGGTTTCTAAAAAGCCCCATTTAAAATAAAGGGGCTTTTTTCACCTTTTCAAAAAACCCAGTTAAAACATTTCTACATGTAACACTGCTAGATTTCCTCCTTTTTAAAAATATTTTTTAGTTTTAGATGGACACAATATCTTTATTTTACATTTATGTGGTGCTGAGGATTGAACCCAGTGCCTCGTGCATGCTAGGTGAGCACTCTACCACTGAGCCACGATCACAGCCCAATTTATTCCTTGTTAATGAATTTCTAGTACAAATGAAATTCTTGGTAAGCTGACAATAGAGACATTCTGGTTTGCATTTAATTGATTATTCAAGGTCTAGACTCATGTTGAGTAGCAAAATATGTCTAAAGTTTGCATGACCTGACATGCCAAAAATGATCCTAATTTAAATGATTATTTTTCTGAAAAGACTTTTAAAATCACTTCACAAAACAAGTAGCTGATGTTGTAGGAAAACTGAATCACTACCTGAAATACCTTTTTTACTGGATGTAGGAAGGTCCTCTTGTAGTTCTTCTAATAATTCCTCTTCATACAGTTGCTCCTTTTCTTGTGAAGGGAATTCAATATATTCAGATTCTGCACTTGTTCTAGAGATTCTAACTTCCCTTGATGGTGAAGTTGAGTCTACATCCTCTTGTTTTTCTGGAATTCTCTCTCCATATAGATCATGCTCTTCTGTGTGTGGTTCTTCTGTTGTTAACTCTGTGCGTGATCCATATTCTGAAAATGATGTTTTGTGTGGTCCTTGCTCTGCTGTTGATCCTTTGTGCTGACTTTGTCCTGCTGTTGACCCTCTGCGTGATCCATGTTCTGAAGATGACATTCTACGTGGTCCTTGTCCTGTTATTGATGCTTTGCTCTTCCCTTGTTCAGAAACTGACTCTCTGTGTGACCCTTGTTCTGCAACTGACTCTCTTCTTGGTTCTTGTTCTACCATGGAGCTTCTGCGTGACCCTTGTTGTGTAACTGACTCTCTTCTTGGTTCTTGCTCTACCATGGAGCTTCTGTGTGACCCTTGTTCTACAACAGACTCTCTTCTTGGTTCTTGTTCTACCGTGGAGCTTCTGCGTGACCCTTGTTCTGCAACAGACTCTCTTCTTGGTTCTTGTTCTACCATGGAGCTTTTGCGTGACCCTTGTGTAACTGACTCT